TCTTAGAAGATCAGCAGAGAGGCCAGATTCCCATAATACACTGATCGAACATCAACAATAATCACAGAAACCAAGGATGTACATCTATCCATGGATAGCAGTTACATATCCCCTTAATGCCTGGAAACAAGTAAGATTTTTAAGTGTGTTTTTATAGTTAAGTTAGGGTAAAGGAAACATTTTCTCTTGCTGATCCTAGTTTTTATCGCTTACCCCACTGAACCCACTCCTAAATAAATGTACACATTTATACAGATAACACACAAAGTTCAGTGCATGGATACATGACCTTTTATAATGTTTCTCTCTCTCTTTTTTACATACTTTTAATCTTTAACTTTAAATATACAATCTACTCACAGTAAATACACATTCGTGGAACAAGAACTGTAACACTATTCTTTCATCAGATATATCTTGAAATAGCATCTGTGGACTTGAAAGGCGACAGGCTAAGAGTTGGGGCGGGGCCCTTGTTCAGTCTTCGTATTTGGAAGTCTCTGTCTCTCCTTCCTCTGCAAGGCCTTTCTCAGAAAACACGGGTGGTTCAGAAGGAAATGGTCAAACCCACAAATCTCTCCTCCTAGGATAGCAGCATTCTTGTTGCATAGGATGTCATCTCGAATGCTAGAGCAGCATCTAAAAGCACAGGAGAATATACCACCAAATATTTTACATAAAATACTTATAAAAATTGATTTCTATCTCCCTTGCTTTCTCACATTATATATACTGATGATATCAGTAGATACTATATAGTCTGAGAAAACCTAGATTAGATGTATCAAAAACAAGATTTTAAAAACAATCTTTAGGATAATTACCAATCAAAACTATCATGTATAGCACACTATCTCCTTTTATGCAAATAATGACTAATTTTGTCAAAACAGATCCAAGTTTTGTAGAGCCTACATTTTATATAGTTTATATGAATTAGCTCTTCATGGTTCACACGAATTAACGCAAACAAATGCACAGCAGAACCTCTCCCAGGGCCTTGGAAGTGCCTGTGCAAGTGAAAAATTAAAACTTAAGCTTTGTTTGCTTCACAGTAAATTCATCGTTGTCACAGATGCTTTGTAAAATTAATTTCAAAAATACGCTTATGAGAATGTGGGGCTCTATTACCACCATATTTTACATCGAGTTAATGAGATATTAAACACCGAATGACTAGCTTGAGCGAGTAGCAAATTATCTCTCAGAAAGGTCAGATTTTTGTTTTGTTTTTTTTTTTAATACTAAAAAGTTATATTTAAAAGGAAGGTAACTGTTTGGTATAGCACTGGTCCCTCTTTACTGGGGAGAGACTGCCAAGTACAGTCACGCACCACATAATGACACTGCAGTTAATGACGGACAACATACACGACAGTCAATGGTCCCATTAGATTATCATGGAGCTGAAAAATTCCTATGGCCTAGTGACATCATAGCTGTTGTAACATCATAGCACAATGCATGACCTTTTCTACGTCTAGAAGCACAAATACTTACCACTGTGTTACAATTGCCTACAGTGTTCAGTCCAGTAACATGCTGTACAGGCTGTAGCCCAGGAGCAATAGGGTACACCACACAGCCTGGTGTGCAGTAGGCTATAGCATGTAGGTTTCGGTCAGTACACTATGTTTGCGCAATGATGAAATTGCCTATGGATGTATTTCTCAGAATGCTAAGTGAAGATGACTATAATCATTTATCTATCTTGATTTATAAGCCCACAGGACAAATGGCTGATACGGGAAATAAGTATGTATCTTTCTTGAGCACTTGTCATCCTAAATTCACATTACTATATCCAATAAAACACCAGAGATTAGTTTAAGAGATGTAAGCTCTATGAAAAGGGATTTCATCCCAGAGACGAATACTACTTCTAGTTTTCTAAGTGGCACAACTCTTTCTCTATCGAGAGCTGTCATGGATTCCATCACCAGAGAATATTTCAGCTGAAAAATATGGTCTTCAGCAAACCACAAAATGTTTCCCATGAAAGGTTACACACTTCAAATATGGGAAATCAGACCTACCCAGTTCAGAACCAAAGTGATCTCAGTGCTGGTGTTCCATTCGAGGCAAATCAGGCTCCGAGTCATCTGACAGGGGAGCTCCTGATACCTATAAATTAATAATAAAGCATCATAAGTTCTCAGTGTTGCAAAAGTTCCACTTCCCAAAAATTCCAATTATAGTTGTTCAAATATCAGATGTTTAGAATTAACTATTCATAGCTCAAGTTGCTTACATGGAAAAGAATGAAGTAAGGGGATGTTATTCTTTGATGTCTTAGTTTATACATATTAAAAGATACTTCTGATCTGCCATGGCAGTGTAAGCCCGCTACAACCCATCTCTTCTACTTATTACAAAAATCAAAACCTGTTGGAACCATCATATAAAGACCTTAAAGCAGCCATTATAACTATGCTACATGAAATAAAGGGAAACACACTTGAAATGAATGAAGGGACAGGAATTAATTCATTCTTTCTTTCTTTCTTTCTTTCTTTCTTTCTTTCTTTCTTTCTTTCTTTTTTTAGAGACAGGGTCTCATTCTGTCACCCACGCTACAGTGTAGTGGTGCAATCATAGCTCACTGCAGCCTCCAACTCCTGGGCTCAGGCGATCTTCCTGCCTTAGCTTTCAAGTAACTGAGACTAAAGGCACACACCACCATGCCTGGCTAATTTTTTTAATTACTATTTTGTAGACACAGGGGTCTTACCATGTTGACCAGGCTGGTCTTGAACTCCTGACCTCAAGTGATCCTCCCACCTCAGCCTCCCAAAGCATTGGGATTACAGGCATGTTTGAACCACTGTTCCCAGCTAGGAACAGGAATTCTTAGCAAAAAAATAGAAGCAAAGAACCAAATGGATATTTTAGGACTAAAAAATACAGTATCTGAAATTTTAAAAACTCTTCACTGAATGTGCTTAATAGCAGAATGGGGATGACAAAGTAAAAAGTCAGAGAACTTAAAGATAGATCAGTAGAAACTCTTAGCCAGGTATGGTGGCACATGTCTGTAGTCCTCCCTACTCAGGAGGCTGAGCAGGAGGATTGCTTGCGCCCAAAACATTCAAGGTTGCAGTGAGCTGGTCATACCACTGTACTCCAGCCTGGGTGACAAAGAGACACCATGCCTCAAAAAAAAAAAAAAAAAAGAAAAGAAAAAAGAAATTGCCCAACCTGAAGAATAGAAAGAAAAAGATTTTAAAAAAGTAAACAAAGTCTCAGAAACCTGTGAGAAAATACCAACAGGTCTAACATATGTGTCATTAGAATCTTAGAAGGAGAGGAAAAATAGATTGTGGCAGAAAAAAAATGTTTGAAGAATAATGACCAAAAACTCCCCAAATTTGGTAAAAGATATAAGTTCACACGTTCAAGAAGCTTGGCAAACCCCAAACAGAATAAACTCAAAGAAAACTATGCCTAGACACATATTCAAGCTAATGAAAACGAAAGATAATAGATTAAATTCTGAAAGTAGCTAGAGAAAAATGCAACATTCCATGCAGGGAAACAATTCAAATGCCTGAGAATTTCCCACCAGAAATCATAGAAACCAGCAGACAGAGGCATGACATAAAAACAAAAGGACAAAAACCTATCAACTCAAATTCTTATATCCAGTGAAAATATATTTCAATAATTAAGATAAAGTCATTCTCAAATAAAGGAAAACTAAGACAATTTGTCACCATTAGACCTGCTCTGCAACAAATACTTAAGGAAGATGTTCACGCAGAAGGAAAAAAATACCAGAGGAAAACTGGAATCTCAAGGGGGGAAAGGAGAACAACAGAAATGGTAAATAGGTGACTGTAACAGACAACTTTTTTCTCATAAATTATTTAAAATGCTTATGACTGTTGAAAGCAAAAAGTATGTCATAGTGTGGTGAGGTTTTCAAGGTACATAAATGTGTTACAAATGACAGCTCTAACGTAAAGTCCAAATGGGGGGGAAGGAAATTATGTTTGTAAGGTTCCTATATTTTATATTAAGTGGTAAAATGTAGACTATGAAAGT